GGGGGGGGGGTGGTTGGCTGTATAGACATTTTGAATATTGTTTGCATGAAATTTTTATTTCCTGACTGCATAATTATCTGTTACAATCATAATCACATTATAAAGTTAGTTAAATTTTCTCGGTGCGGGGTCCGGAGGGGGGGGGTAGCACTTGCCCTGCTGCACTCCCCGCTGTGTACAGCCCTGTTTTAAATCTTATCTGCCATTATAATAAGTGATAAAATATTTCAATTGTCCCATGTCATCTTCATTATTCAGTTCTTTCAAGAAAATACAAAATGTGAATCAAGTTTTTTCGCTCTGTTTTTTCGCAGATACATGTACGCGTCGCGTACCTATTTTTGCTAATTGTTCAGCAATTTTTGGGGCGGATTTTTCCGCGTCATTCAGAGCTTGTGCGATTTCTTCCAGCAAAGGGTCATCGCGTTGATCGGGTGACTCTGTGACGTCCCCGCCATTGCTATTGTTGTCGTTGTTTGGTGTGGCGCCCATTTCGCCGTCGTTGTTAACGACTTTTTGCCGTTTATTCACCTGCTGGTTCAGCAGTTGATCGGCATCTGATTGATGACCATTCTGCTGGTCGTTCAGGCCTTCTTTGTCTGACAAAAGTGGCCTTTTTCTGGCAGGTTCTGCCGTGTGCCTTTGGGTACTAAATTGCTTAAGCGACTCGTTTACAGCAAGCATGTTTGTATTCAGTAACGAGATAGTCGACAGGAATTCTTTGTTTAGATTGATTGAAGGCTTTTCGTCTTCTGAGAAAAGAAGTTCGTCTTTGTCTTCAGGTTCTGCCATCGGAAATACGTCAAATGAAAAGTATTTTGTCCAAACAAGTCAAAGGAAAAATTTTTCTAAACCAAACGCTCTGAAATCACGCTCGAACTGAATGCTCCGATCTCCCGCGCTCTATCTCACGTGACTTCTTTGTGAACTGACCAATGATGAAGTAGAATTTAATGTAAAATGTATAAACGGTAAAACGTTTCGAAACTTTGCCGAGAAACTACAGGAGAAACTGAAAAACTCTTTTTGCCGACAGTAGTTTGTTCGATAATACGGTAAACTAGTAATAATCTTAGATTAGTGAAGTGCGTTCGGCGTAAGAGTAGACGTTGTCGAAAATGTTAATATTGCATCATATGCTAGTTATCAAAAGTGGGCCAGATTGGCTCATTTGGAAAGAATTGATTTGGAAATAATTGATTGGATGACATAAAGCTACTCATTTCTGTTGTCTCATTGTACATTAGACTTTTTGTTCAATGTTATTATTGGAAGGGCCTGAGGCTAAGTCAGGCGATATAATTTCATCTGATCAAATATAATTTTCAGATTCAACTGTCATATCAGATGGAACACTATCAAAAGGGACTGATTCTAAGGCATGTTGATTGATAGTCACATTCAGTATAATGTGGATTATTTCTCAAAAGCCATAGCAATGCATGATGCACTTTTTCTCTTGTGACCTTAACATCATTAAATGTGGTATATATCTTTACCCTTTACCTATCTTAACTAGAATAATAGACAAATCACTGGGATGGCTTGGCAAATTTGATGCAATGCTCTGAATACCCCCATTTACCCTCTTTGTTTATGATTTAAACCCTCATTATAGACAGAGCTCAAGCAATGAGCATTCTTCGGTTTGAGTTAGGTCTTACAACTCAACTAAATACAATTTTTTGCCTCTGGTGTAAACTAATTGGGTTTACAATTATGGTTGCATTAGCATTTGGACTGGAATCAGTAATATAAATAGTGCACCTTAAAGCATTTGCTTCTGCTTGAATAATGATATTATCACACCATGTTCCAGGTTGTGACATTTCTTCGTGAAGTCTTCATGAAGACTTTCAATATATAACTGTCTCACTGCCATAAACACAAAAGTGAGGTAAATGCTACATCCAAAAATCCTGAAAGGACATAGCATCCAGCCGTGACGTCACGATTAGGAAGCGTTCTCTTTCGTTGAACGCAAATATATTCATAGGCAGAAGGTAGTTCTCGAGTTATATTTTGATCAAGCCATATTTGCTGTCCATTATAAACACACATAAAACACCATACGCTGTATTAATTGCCCCAAATAAGCAATATTATTATGAATCACTACATTATATAATTTCATGTAAATACCAGCTTGCATAAAAAGATATTATTTATTGAGTTAATTTCGCAGATATGAATGAAATCGAAAACAAGTACGGTATGGAATTTCACTACTGAAATGTTTATAATACTTATCCAAGTCCCAAACATAGCCAAGACAACGATTAAATTTATTAAAAACATCTGGTTCGTCTTCGACAAAATTCGTTTTTATGCAATGCCTTTTACACTTTGTTTCACGGTTCCACTAACTTCATGAAACTGCAGGCTTGTTTCCAGGTAAAAGCGAAATACATCGCAACAATATATTGGAAAACAGCAAAATACATCTTTGCAAAATGAAAAACAATTTTTTTAGTGCGAGCTTGCATGCGGTTGTATGTGCATAACGTCGAAAACCGCTCATCACATAATGGAGGACAACTTTGCACTTCGTTATGTTCTCAAATACAAGAGTGTAAATAGCCGGGCGAACTCGGAGATTAATATAAAATCCTCCTTAAAATCATTAACTTTCAGTTTTTAAACGGTCTACTGAAAATAATTTTTGGTGTTTCTTTAGGAAAAACGACGTAGGTAAGCTAAGTGATGGTTACTGATCCCCATTTGTACAACCCCAGCGGCTATTATCTTATTATCATCAATGGAACTTATTATACATTTAGTATGTATTAATTCTCGTTCCTGATTGGTCAGAGGGCACCGGATAATTCTCAATATTCGATACTTACTAGAAATACGTACATGCAGCAACCCCTCGCCTTTCTTAACAGATGTAGTATAGAAATGCCACATGAAGTATTCCATGTTTAAAATAATAGTAGTCGCTGGTAACGTGAAATAATATAAGAAAATAATACGAGATAATTTTTTAACTAAATAATCATTGATTCTCATAATTTTGAATGTTGTTATTATGTTATGTGGCTTTCGGGTAAAACGTTTCGAAACTTTGCCGTGAAACTGCAGGAGAATTTAAATTTATTTAGTTAAATAATTAAAATTAGCAGTAAGTCGTTCAAGACGATCGGACTTCTTTTTCTTCGTGAATTTTATCATAGAACAGTTTAAAAAGTTAAAATTATGGAGCAGAATGTCCGTTCTGTTAGTGTCCTGCATGGAGTACAATTTGGTAACAAAGACAAGCTAATCTGGGCAAAATCGTTTCAAGATTTGCGGATGTTTGTTGAAAAAATGTTGAATTTAACCTGCGGCGTTTGGGGCTGTCCCAGTGGAGGTGCTAAACGGTTTAAGTCTGATGATATTGATTTTCGATGCTTTCCTGACACACGTACAAACATCACTATAAATGGCAAACTAAAGAATGAGATCGAACAGAGATTGAATTTTATGGCTGTAGTATCGGGGAGGCTCGCGAATGAAATGGGAGCTTCGTGGCAAGGCGGCCATGTTGGCGAAATTAGTATATATATATATATATATATATATATATATATATATATATATATATTATATATATATATATATATATATATATATATATATATATATATATATATATATATATATATATATATATATATATATATATATATATATATATATATATATATATATATATATATATATAGCTTAAGATTTTGGTTTACGAAACACAAACAGTGCTCAATACCATATAGATAGAGCGTAATATAGTTTTTCGTTTTACCTCAAAAACCACAACAGTCTGTTTCATCCGTATAGGAATCATCAGGTGGTGAATAATTTCGAAATTGCAGGTTGCTTTTATGCTATCGAAAGAATGTGCGGAATGCGTGTAGGCGAAACAATGCTTAGGTGAAACAATGCATGCTTGGGTAATTAGGTTTTGTTAACGACCTTGTTTACACGAAACCGGTTTTTGTGACGACATTTGCCGAAAATTTCGCTTCTTTTATTGAGTAAATTGTCTTTGTTTATGTCTTTCAAAATGCAAAATTTTTCTTCCAAACATAAATTGCAGCGTTTTGATCCCCCTGTATACGAAATAGCGTGTTTTAAAATTGACCATTTGATGGTATAATCCTGATTGTTTTCTTTTAATTTCCAAATATGTTTCGAAAGTTCCGTTTTGTTTGAGTCTTTTTTATGACGAAAAGATGAAATGTGGTTAGCGTAACGTTCCTTAAATGTAGTCGCTGTCATACCAATGTAGTGTTTAGTGTCGTTCGTATTGTTCGTTGTGACTGTGGCTTTGTAAATAATGTTGTTGGTTATACATTGTTTCGGTAGTGGACAAGTGTTCTTGTTGTCGCAGTTACAGTTGTCAGTTTCCGTATTCTGTGATTGACTGTTCCTAATTATATGTGCGTTGTGTTTGGTGATTATAGACTTAACGTTGTTCATGCAACTGTAGC